CTGAGGCGAAGTCAAATCTCCTCTCTTCTGCCTTGTAGCATTTTGGCAACTGCCTATTACACCACCTAGCCGAACATTCCAAGTGCCAGTGTGATTGTTGTCATTACGATTCTAAACTCCACCGGTCTAGACCCGGGACTAATCACTCTTCTTTAGGCTGTTGAGTGGCTTAAGTAAGCAATTTACAGACCGAGCTACCTCCCCATGAAATATGACTTGTCTTGATAGTTGCTTACGCTTTAGCAGTCGTCTGCGGTCAGGAAACACTGTCTTTTCCCACTTGTCCTGCGCCGCTTCCGTGTATCACACTTTAAGAATAAGGAAATGGGTATGAAGGGTTAAAAACTGTAAAGAAGATGCATATCACAGCCTTTTAATGAAATTGTAGGTAGATAATTCCTTCCAACTATGTACGCGTTCCCGACTCACTTGCGAATAGATTTATGAAACGGTAGATAGTTTGTTTTCCAAAGACCAAACTGTTCTTACTAGGTCAGTAAACAAGAGATTGAATGGATGAACGTGATTGACAAACGCCTGTTTACTAGACGATTTGCAATGCTTCGGATGGTCTCATTGATTGCAGACACATACTATCTACGCGAATTATGTTAACTCCGTATTTAGCCGTCAGTTCGGTAAACAAATTTAATATGTACAGTTTTGCACGATGAGTAAAAATTTTAGGCCGGCCTTGTTTTTTGAGGTAAAAGTGAATAGTGAAGCTACATTATTCTCTATGTTTGAGGGACGGAATTAAGGCTTTATAACACAGCCTCTAACATAAGAAAACGAGGACTCTCCTACGTCACCGCAACGATACGTATTTCCTTGCACATGACGAGAAGCAATTATGCTTCGCTAATGCGGTATCGTGAAGGGCATTTCAAGTTCTGAGGCGAAGTCAAATCTCCTCTCTTCTGCCTTGTAGCATTTTGGCAACTGCCTATTACACCACCTAGCCGAACATTCCAAGTGCCAGTGTGATTGTTGTCATTACGATTCTAAACTCCACCGGTCTAGACCCGGGACTAATCACTCTTCTTTAGGCTGTTGAGTGGCTTAAGTAAGCAATTTACAGACCGAGCTACCTCCCCATGAAATATGACTTGTCTTGATAGTTGCTTACGCTTTAGCAGTCGTCTGCGGTCAGGAAACACTGTCTTTTCCCACTTGTCCTGCGCCGCTTCCGTGTATCACACTTTAAGAATAAGGAAATGGGTATGAAGGGTTAAAAACTGTAAAGAAGATGCATATCACAGCCTTTTAATGAAATTGTAGGTAGATAATTCCTTCCAACTATGTACGCGTTCCCGACTCACTTGCGAATAGATTTATGAAACGGTAGATAGTTTGTTTTCCAAAGACCAAACTGTTCTTACTAGGTCAGTAAACAAGAGATTGAATGGATGAACGTGATTGACAAACGCCTGTTTACTAGACGATTTGCAATGCTTCGGATGGTCTCATTGATTGCAGACACATACTATCTACGCGAATTATGTTAACTCCGTATTTAGCCGTCAGTTCGGTAAACAAATTTAATATGTACAGTTTTGCACGATGAGTAAAAATTTTAGGCCGGCCTTGTTTTTTGAGGTAAAAGTGAATAGTGAAGCTACATTATTCTCTATGTTTGAGGGACGGAATTAAGGCTTTATAACACAGCCTCTAACATAAGAAAACGAGGACTCTCCTACGTCACCGCAACGATACGTATTTCCTTGCACATGACGAGAAGCAATTATGCTTCGCTAATGCGGTATCGTGAAGGGCATTTCAAGTTGTTACTTGTAATTAAAGAACATATTTGACCTGAATTTGCTATCGTCGGGAGATGAAAGCGTCTACCACATCGATTCGAGAAAAAAGGGTCTTTAAGTGAAGTAGTGCATGGCGGCAGGTCATTAAGAAAA